ACAATTTAAAAAAAGAATTCCCAAACTTTAACCTTTTAACCCCTGTGTCATCAATTTCACGTCGATACACTGTTCGAAAGTAAAAACGTCGAATTTTCCACGTTGAGGCACGAAAGGGTTAAACTGTCGAACGAGCAGCGGCGTAACGAGACATTCGAGCAACAGCGTTCAATTTGGACGGGGACGCGCGGTCGGGAAGCAGATATGTAACTCGGTAAATCAATTACAACGTTAAACCTAGTTGAAAGAAAGTTCGAGTGGAAGCTTGTCGTTAGTGTTTGGCGAAGAAACACCCGGGCAAATCTGAATTTGTAAATTTGAAAACTGAATTAGCCCCGTTTGGAAAGGAGAAGAAGATGGTCTGTTTGGGCGGGGCAATTGTTGTTCGTTCGCGTACTCTTCCCTCGTACTTGGCTCTAAGCAAATACGAATTTCTCGAGGAACGGTCAAGTAAAACCACGGACTTCCACTCGACAAAGTAGATTCCAAGGTTTCCAAGGCTGGTTCGAATAATTTGCCTTTCAATTCGATTCCCCCCCCCTGTAACCGTGTTTGCAGCCTCGCCTTTTCTACTGGCCTGGTTTTGCGTCGCCGTCGATCGTCGACGTCGTCGATTGTCTTCGTCGAAATCGGGTCGACGTGTCTTTCTCTCTTCCTGCTTCTTTTTTTCTCTTCTTCGTGGGAGCGATAGGGAGAGGAAAAAAGAAGAAGAAAATCGGTGGCAATGTGGTATCGGTGTAATTGCCGCGGAAGGAAACGCACTCGACGACGCGATCGCTGGGACACACGAGCGATCTCTATTCAATTTCCGCTGAATACGCCGCCAGACGACTCGGATGCGAGACGAAACACCAGCTAAAAACGCTGGTTTTCAGCTTCACAGTCTGGCGAGAGCCGGCAGGCGCGACGGGGAAAAGGTGTTTGAAACGGTTGTGGAGAAATGCCGAGTAAGACTTTTGCTGCGTCGGTAAAGCGGTTTTTTGTTCGAATACGAGTGATTTTGATGTTTTGGTTTTTGGTGCTTCCGGGGAAAGTGTCTTCTCTACGTAGTTCGTCTTCTGAGGGAATCCTCGTTTACACTTCGTTTTGTTACTTTGGTACTGTCTCTGTTCTCTAGCGTTTTCAATTTTTGTTAGAATGGTTCGTGATATCATTGGAATTAACCCTTTGTAACCTGATTTTTCTTCGTTCAGGGGACGAACAATTGGGGGTGATTGGAATTTTGTATTCTGCTTGGAGAAGCAAGAATTGATAATTATTGTAAAAAGATCCGAGTGAATTATTGAGAAAAATGATGTAAAATGGAAACGTAATTTTCATGTCACATGGTCTTACAGAGGGTCAACCCTTTCGTTACTAGTAAAATACATATGTTTCACTTCGATTCTCCAACAAAAATAGATCGCAATTTAGTGTCCATCAAAAATTGATCCGTCACAAATGCGATGATCTCTAAATAAACAACAAATTCTTAAAAGAAAATTTAACGATTGAAATATTAAATTAGAACATTAAAAAATCGTATTCAGTATCCATCACACATACAACGATACAACGAGATAAATAGCAAACTCTCGAAAAACAAAATGTTCAATCATGAAAGAGTCAAAGCAATTTATCTAACGATTGATAGAACATTAAAAAATCGTATTCAGTATCCATCACACACGCAACGAAGAAGTTCTGAAAAAAATTCAATCGTGAAAGAGTTAAAAAATCTAATTAATCGTAGATTAACTACGTTAATCGTAGAGAACGCAACACGAGCGAATGGTACGAAATCGGATCGACTGCGTTCCTTCGCCTTCCGTTCCACTCTCGTTCCTATTAACCACCGGTTTGACGGTAGCGTAAATTTCACGTGGCGTGGAACGCACTAATTGTAAGAGAGGGGCCGGCTAGCCGCTCGACGAAATCGATAATTAACCATCGAGGAACATCATTAGTTGCGCGGGATTATAATTCACGCGAGAATTGATAGCGGGTGGAAATCAGCGCCGTTGAATCCGCGACCTCCATTCGAAACGGCATTGTGTTTTCAATCGAACTACCATCCCGAAACGCAGTTTATGTTACACGCGAAATATTTATCGGCCTCCGGTTCATTCCGCTGTTTTTTAAACATTTTATCGCCGAACATTGCGCGTTGTAACGTTTCATCTCGGTTTTATCCCGGGTTTTCCTGTTATTTCCGAAGAGGACAGTTTTCTAAATTTTTTAATCCTTCGCAAATAACACGGTTGTTTCCATCGATTTTCCGGTTTGTCGTTCGAAATAGACGAGGGGGAAAGGAACGGTGGATAAACGGTGGAAATGACAATACCGACTGCCTTTTTGTTATTGAAATAGAAAAATATTGAAAAACAGTTTCTAAATTCTTTAATCCTTCGAGAGTAACGGAGTAATTCCCATGGATATTTTGCTTTATCGTAGAAAACAGACGACAGGGGAAAAGCAGCGGATAAACGATAAAAATAATAATGCTGTTTTTTTTTATTATTGAAATAACAAAAATTTTGTAAATTTTTCAATCCTTCGAACGCATTCATTCTCCGTGAATTTTGATTGGTTCACATGGTTCACACGTGAATGTCAACGACAGGAATAATAATGCCGACGTCTTTTTATCATTGAAATAAAAAATAAATGTAAAACAAATTTCTAAATTTTTTAAATCTTCCAAAGTAACAAAGTTATTCCCATGGATTTTTTGGTTTATCACAGAAAATAGACGAGAGGGGAAAAAGCATAGGATAAACGGCAAAAATAATAACGTTGACCGCCTTCTTATTACCGAAATAAAAAAGAATTTCTAAATTCTTTAATCCTTCGAAAATAGCAAAGTTATTCCCATGGATTTTTTGGTTTATCACAGAAAATAGACGAGAGGGGAAAAAGCATAGGATAAACGGCAAAAATAATAACGTTGACCGCCTTCTTATTACCGAAATAAAAAGAAATTTCTAAATTCTTTAATCCTTCGAAAGTAACACGTCAGTTCCCATAAATTTTGATCCACGCGACTCACACACGGATGTACACAATAGGAACACCAACACCGACTCTCTTTTCACCATCGAAATCAAATTTCCCAAATTCTCCAATCCCCGAAAGTAACACGGCGATTTCCATCGGATTTTTCCGCCCTCCGTCGGAAATAGATAAGAACGACAATGGCCGATATCAGCGGGGAATTTTGAAAAGGGGCGAATATGTGAATGTAAACGACAGGAATAATAATGCTGACTTGGCTAGTGACACGCCTCGCCTCGAATCAGGGCCAATTGCTCTATACACATTACCTTGCGCTTGACAAGCACCACTAGGCGGCTCGTTGATACGCTAGACTCATCGTATTATCTCTGCGCGGCCGATAAAAAACCCGCCTATTATTCCCCTGTATATTTCCTCTGCTCGGTTACTTTCTTCGATCCGCGGGCAAACGAAAACAGAAGGCCTTGGGGAAAAAGGAATGAAAAAGGCACAAAGATATCGAGCGATTTTTAATTATACAAAGCACACTTGCACACACCGACGATATCTTATCCTTCCTTTTTTACTCCATTTTTTATCGCAACTACTTTTTTTGCTACACGTACACACACAAGAAAAAAGAAGTGACTGCGGTATGGAGAGAAAATAACGCGTCAGCTTTTTTTCATATTTTCAAACCCAAAAAGAGAAAGAAAAAGAACGTGGAGGTATGTATAGGCGGTAAATTGAAAGACGGTGTTTCAATTGTAAAACTGTCCTTTATTTTTATGCGCGAGGAGGGCACGATAAGAGCTCGGCAAGACGCTAAAGAAAAAAGAAGCACGTCAGCATCCAGCCATACTAAACAGATGATTACTATGTCATTCTTCTGTGTATGTTTATATTAACACTTGAGAAACTTTACTCAGAGCGCCGCGATACTTACGAGTTTTGTAGAAACCCGCACTTTCACGAAATGAAATAAAGTAGCTCTTGTAATTACCGAGATATCTTCAAATTAACAACCTTCTATTAGGAAATACGCTCAGTCAGCGTGATTGTTAGCACGGCTTTGTTTACTTGTTTTATAAGTATCTCAGTAATTATCCATTTTAAGTCCGACTTTGTGTAATACTTTTTTACGCAAAATTTCACGATTTACCCGAATTCGAGAAAAAATATTAGACAGTCCATTTAAAAAACTGAAGGTGACCCTAATATCTCGATAAAAGAGTAAGGTAATAGAAAACAGATTAGAGCACTGTACGCCCCCCTAGGTACCATGCAACTTTTCTTCGAAACATTTCTTTCGTACAACGAAATAACCTACGAGTTATTTGAAGCCGTCATGCCAGGAGACTCACCCTGTATATAGTATTTATCGAAAAATTACTCGTGACGTTGTTTCGACGGAGAAATTGCAATTAGATAGGATCTTCAACCCTGCGAGCCTCTCGAAACGATCGCAACCCTTGTA